TAAGTCCATCACAGAGTGGGGCTCAGTGGGGCTGACTGCTATAATATTACTATTAGTCTTGGTTTATTCTGTCTTTTGAGAGAGCTCTTTTTATGGGGCTCCCACCGGGATGTGGGGCAGAAAAGCACGTGTTCCTACCTCCTCTGTGTTCCCTTCTTCTCTCCTCCCCTCTTCTGTGAAGCCTTCCCCAGCTCCAGCAACTACCTACTGCCATCCTTTGTGCTTCATGAGGTGAATTTAAGGTGACCCATTTTGCATCAAAATGAAACTATTCTGTTGTCTTCCTTCTTCACTAGAATGTGAGCCCCTTAAGGCTTCCGTCCGAATTCCAGGCCGTGGACTGGTACTGGCCATGGCCTGTTAGGAACCAGGCCACAAAGCAAAAATGGTCTTCCACGAAACTTAGGGAAAGGTGGCATGGGGTGGAGGGACGGTGCGGGAGGACACGCACAGCAGGAGGTGAGCGGTGGGTGAGCACGGGAAGCTTCATCTGTATTTGCAGCCACTCCCCAACAATGCCAACAATGGCATCACCACCTGAGCTCCACCTCCCACCACCACCCCCGCCCCAGAAAAATTGTCTTCCATGAAACCAGTCCCTGGTGCCAAAAGGTTTGGGGACCACTGCCTTAAGGGACTAGACCATATCTTATGCTTTCTTGTGACTATACGTGCCTCAAGCACCACCTGCAACAGTAGGCTTTCAATAAATACATGCTTCTTGGATAAATGACTGAATACCTGCCACTAGAAGTTGTTACACTTCCAGAAATAGTGTTCCAATCCTCTTTCTATCCAATAAAATCAACAGGGGGTGACACACTGCTCTCTGTTTTTCTTTATTCTGATCTGTTTAGGGAAGATGAATTATCTACTTCTCCTTTACTTACCCAAAACATTTGCAGAAACTTTTCATCAGAAAGCTTTTTTGTGTAAGTCTTTCTTCTCCAAATTATTGTATCTGACTCAGTTGGTATTTGAATCTCTTCTAACCAAATGATATTTATAAAAATTTGCTGTTTTTGAGAATCTAGGTGCATTTCTCTTACTTTACCGAAGGAAATAGGGAAGTGGGAAGAATTTGGATGTCAGCTGCAGCACATCCTTGATTCAAAACCTACAGGCAGAGATGTGAATGATCAGCAGTGCTAATAAATTTCTGTAGGTTTCAGACCCAGGAGCCAAGAGAGGGCCTTACAGATGTTGCAGGAAACCAAGTGCCCAGAGGAGTGTTCTGTAGGGCTCACCAGGTGCTTCCTGCCCAGGCACTGCCAGGCAGCCAGCGCTGGCTCTCCAAGAGCCCCTCCACCTCTTCCATACGTCCTGCTCCTTGCCCTCCAGCAGTGGGTGGGAGCCAGTGGTCTGTCCTTACAGAAAGAGTCAAACCAAGGAGGGACCCAAGAAGAAGGATCCAGAACTTTTCCCCAGGCCAGCAACCTTTGTTTTCAAAAACAGCAGAAGCAGAAGCCGGAAGTCATGAAAATCGGGAAAAAGAAATTAAAGAGGCAGTGTCTTTGTCACACAGTTTCATCCAAGTCCTGGGTTTTTCTTCTGCTCATGTTCCTTTTCAGACGGAACTACAGGAGTTCTCTTAGGTTAACACTAAAGAAAAATAATCATCAATTTTTATTTTTTCACAAAAAACTTTTCCTGTTATTTAAAAATATTCTTGCCGTTTCCCAATGACCAGAGGAAAAAAGGGCAACTGTTTAACAAATGTTTAAAAATTGAAAAAAACACAATTATAATAACCTCCATACATTATTTCATTTGATTTCACCTATTTCTATCAATACCATTGTGACGTAGGTATGCTCTGCAGATGAGATACTGAAACTCAGAGTGTTTAAGTAACTTGCTGAAAATCACGCAGTAAGAAACAAAACTATTAACCATATCAACCATATATCACCTCAATCACCCTTTTACTTTATAAAACTCACTCTCCTTTGAAAATCCCTTGCAGTCCCTGCCTGAACAAAAGTGCCTAGCTGACTCCCTTACTATAGTGAGCTCTGAATAAGTAGCCTTTGATTAATTATATAGGTGGTATTTATTCTTTTGATAGTACAATGTCAAAAGAAAAAAAATTGGCAATTTAGCAATTATTGACTGAATAAATTAAACTATATTTTATTTAACATTCTAACATTAGTAAAAGGGAAATATATAATTAATATATAAATAAAACAAAATGAATTTAAACATAAAATGAAAAAAAAAAACAGTATCACATATGTTTCGATTTCCCCAAACGTGCTTCTATTATTGTCTCTTAGGGCTTCAACATTTGACTTATGTGAACTCTCTGGTCCCATAAGTCTATCCACACTCCTCAGCTTCCAACCCGAGTTCCTTCAGCTTCCCCTGCTTGGGGGTGGAGAGAGCGGGGATGGGAAGGGAGTGGCACCTGGAGGCCGACTCTTCGCAGCATGTGCCCAATCTCAATGGGACGTTGGTAGTTAGCAGGATCTGAGAAGATCTTCCATATATGATCTACTTAACCCACAGATAATCCCATGAGGAGGCTTATATTATTACCATCAATTTATGGATGACGAAACTGAGGTATAGGGAGATTAAGGACGTCAGTCAAGATCACAAACCCAAACTATCTGGGCTCTTAGCCCCATGCGCTGCTGCCTCAGTTGGTTATGCCTTGGTGACCATGTTTGAGTCCACTTCTTGGGAGCAAGGCCATGCTTAGAGAGACATGTGGGGGTGGGGGTGGGGGACTCAAGGTGTTTCTGCCTCCAAGAACTGGAAGTGTCTCCCGCCCCCTTTACTACATTGTTAGCCTCCATCTAGGCCTTGTACCTTATGTCTATAGCCTCATTTAATCCTGTCCAGGACTCTTTAAGGTTAGTGACATTCATTCTTTTCACAGAAGGAAGATGAAGCTCAGGCGTTTCTGTAACTTGCCCAAGGTCACAGAGTGGAGGGGAGGACTAGGAATTAAACCAGTGGATCTTCTCCTAGTCTCCCCTCCTCTGGGCTTTAGGAGTGAGTAAACCGGCTCAGGCTGGGCACAGCGTAATGTTTTTCAGGACAAATTGAGCACTCCATAAACGGCCCAGGGAGAATCTGGCCAGATGCCATTTATGGTTCATAGTGGGGAGAAGGAACTCCGAGAGATAACAGAGGCAGAGCCATCACTGGGATGCACAGGCCCTGTCAGGGCAGCTTCCTCAGCCAGGCCACTGCCTTCCCAGGCAGCTAGCGAGCGACCCCAGCCACAATCAACTGCCCCGAAGGGACATTTCCTGCTTATTCCCATTGTCCTGCTGTTCTCTCCACCTGGAAGGCCTATGCCTTCATATGTGCCTGCAAATCCTACCTTTTGGGAGCCTACGGGGCTTTCCTGGCTCTCCCCACCGGGAAGTCATTATGCCTTCCCCCGGCTACCATGCCTAAGCACCCTGTCTACCCTCCTCACAGGGTCCCCTCCACGCAGGGGTGCTCCGGCTCATTCTGTGCCTTACTGCGGACTCCTACAAGTCTAGAAGGGCAGGCGTCCCATTTCACTCGTATTGGTCCCCTCCCCTAGCACCTGGCAAAGACTCAGGATACATTTGTCGAATTCATGATTCTTCCTCTCCTGATCAGGCTCAACACACTTGCCTGGCTCCCGCTCGGGTGGAGCCCGGCTAATCAGAACGAGGGGTTCCTCGTAGAGTGTGAAGGGGTGCGCCCTCAGAGGTGGCTTTCCCGTTACGAGCGAAAGAGCGTTCTGAGGTGCAAGCAGCCGTCGAGCGGGGCTGCAGGATTGCCTTCGCTGTCCCCTCGCCGCAGCCGCCCCTCCACACTGGAGTGTGCACGCAGGCCAAGATGGAAGGCGCCATCCTAACTTCTGCCGTGAGCAGGTGGGAGGGAAGAGAGACGAGAGGTATTCCATTGGTTGTCTGGGAAAATGAATTGCACCTTCCCCTCCCTTGCGGAGGATCAACTTTTCCCACCCCCTCGGGTGGGCACTCATATCGGGCCGAAGCCCGAACCTGGGAGCCAGGGGGCCTCAGTTCCAGGGTTTTGAAGCTGCGCGTGCAGTGGACGCTCCCAGATACTAGGGAAAGTGCTTTACGGTGTCCTGAGTCCCTGAGTTCCTCCAGCTGGGCGAGCCAGCGGGTGCCCCGACCGACCGGGGGCTCCGGGCGCAGGGTGGCGGGCCCGGCGGCGCGCGTCCCCCTCCCCCTGCCGGCGGGCCCGCACGTGCAGCCCGCGCCGCGCCCCCACGGGTTACGCGCGGGTCCCGCAGCGCCGCTGCCGAGCTGGGCTACCAGGCCCGCGGGCAGAGCGCTGGCCGCCAACTCCCGCGCGGGGCCGGGTCGCGATGCTGCGCTGGAACCAGGAAGCGCCGCGGCGAAGGGAGGGCCCGGGCGCGCTGCGCGCGGGGATGGCGGTGGCGCGCCGAGCGGGCCCGGCGCGGGCGAGCGGGCTGCAGCCGGCGGCGGCGCCAGCAGGTACGGCCCGCGCCCGCCGCCGCCCCGGCGACCCTGGGGGGCTGGGCCCGAGCCCGGCGTGGCTGCAAAGTTTGTGCGCGCGGCCCCGCTGGCCCGGAGTTGCGGTCGGGACGGGCGCCACGCGAGTTGGGGACCCGGCGGCGGGGGTGGGGACGGGACGGCACGCCCCTCTCCGCGTTCCGCTCTTCGCCCCTCTCCGCGCCCGGCTCCGTGTCCGCGAGCAGCGAGCCCGGCGGCGGGGACGTGCGTGCGGAGCCGGGCGGGCTGCAGGGCAAGTCGAGCGGGGAGGCAGGCAGCGTGTGTCACCCCAAAGTTTACGGAGAGCGCGCGCCGGCCACCCGCCGCTCGGGGCAGCCGCAGGTGGCTCCGCACTGGCGTGGCGGGGGCGGCCGGCGCCGAGGGGCCAGGTGCGCGGCCCGCGGGCGGCGCTGTGCGCTCGGGGCAGCGGATCGGCCCGGAGAGCGAAAGCCCGGTCGGAGCCGGCGGGGGCGGGGATGTGGCGGAGAAATGGGGAACAATGCGAGTGAGCAACTTCAGGAAGTCATTGTGAAAGAAAGCTGGGAAGAGCTCCGCGGCCAAGTTAGCAGAGCACTCTAACAAGTGCCCGTGCGGCCCGCGCCCCGGGCGGCGACTGAAGCGACAGCCCCTCGATCCCCGCGGAGCGCGGCCAAGCCCGGGCTGGACGCTCGGCCGCGGCGAGGCGGGCGACCCGGGCGAGCTCGGCGGGGCATAAGGAGCCCGGGCTCCGAGGTTGCTCTTCGCGCCCGAGGATCAGTCTTGGCCCCCAAAGCGCGACGCACAAATCCACGTGAGTGTTTTCAAATTGAATTTCAATAGGAAAACTTGGGGGTAACTGATGGATTAAAAAAAAAATAGAACAGGAAAAAAGAAAAGACAAGGCGGTGAGATTCGTAATCCCTGGTGTCGCTCAGGTCCGCCTCTCTTTTCTGAGGACAGTGAGAGCGTTGAGTTTTTCAAAGCCTCTGTCTGCCACTTTGGACTGTGCCCGCAGGTGCAGGACCAGGCAGGCTGGCATGGGACACTTCCGAGCAGCCCCGCTGTCACCAGGAGAGGATGTCCTGGCTCCCAGTCATATTGAAATTTATATATACTTACATAGCAAGATCACAGAAGTCAGCCTTTACAAAGTCATTTGAAAAGAGCTTTCATTATTTTTGAGGTGAGAGCTTTATGCTTATATATAAAATGATTACACTGAGTCTGAACTTGATTTCTGCAAAATAGGAATTATCCTGGTTTTAAAAAGTTAGTACTTTTGCTGACTGCAGGTTTGGCTCTCAGGTCATGCAGGAAACCTCAGGAAAACGCTCAGTAATATTAAGGTTACTTTAGGTTATGTTTGAAATGTATTTTAAAAATTTGTCAGACATCGCTGGTGATTCCTAAGGAACCTCATGAGAGTGTGATTGTTTTTCCTTCTCGATGGCAGCCACAGTATATGGCATCTAGTGAGTGAAAACGGTAGGGATTCCTTAGGGTCTAACCAGGCACAGCATTCAAATGCGGTTTTCATTCTCTCTTGGGGCTGGAGCCCACCCAGAGTGAGTTTCAATGCCCTGTGCTTTGCTTAGTTTACCCACTCACAATTCCCCACGTTGCTACAGACAGCATATTTCAGCTTTGAGGTTCCTTGTTTTAAACTTCCAGAGACAAAATGGTGTTGAAGAAATACCTCCTTACTTGTCAAATCAACTATTGTTAAGAGAGGAAAATTTATGGAAGTTGAAAATACTATGTATGCTTTTTAAACTTTCATAGAAATTCAAATGCTTTTAAGAATTGGTTTACCTTGGTTATGAGTTGGGAAGGGGAGAGAAGCCTGCAGGAAAATGTCTCCAGCCCTCTCGAATTTATTTCTTTGTTTGAAGATATTTGTTGGATGAGGTTCTTTGGACTCATCTTTTACATGGGATTTTTAAAAGTAAAAATTTCAGTATTGTTTATATTAGAATGTGTCAGAATTGTTTCAGCAACGAATCAGATTATTTGGTCTGTGGCTTAAAATTTAAACAGGGACAAATATTCATGACAGGAAGATTCACCTCCTTACATTGGCATCTTGTAATATGCAGAACATATTAAAGAAATAACTTGTAAACATACATAAAAATAGTAATGTCACATTTTAAAAAACTATACCATTCTGGTTTGATAGAATGTATCTGATTTCAAATTTCCCCAAGAACAACCTATGTGTTCATACCTTTTTTACATGAAAAATGCGCTTCCCAGTGTTGCATTCCACCAGAGCTGGTGACCAAAACATTTTATTGAGTTAAATGGCCAGGTTTTCTTCCTTTTTGCTTCATGGTGAGAGTTGAAGGAAGGAATTTAGAAACTCTATAGTGTTTGTTTCATTTGTCAGTGTTCTAACTAGAATGTTACATCTTGGAAAACTACACATCCCTCAAAATTCGGGAACACTGCAGCAATGATAGCCACCATCACGGTCTCACAGGAGACCTCAACAGCTGCAAATTAAGTGTGGATGGATTAGGTTTAACTCTTGAAGAGTTTGTGCACAGTCTCCTAAAGAGACGATCAACTGTGGCTGTGTTTGCAGTCTTTTCCCTTGCTGAAAAATTAAGATCATAGTGAATTTATTGGCCAAGAGATACAAAGAAAGCCCAACCGAGCTGCCGGCACTGTGTCTTCTTGCTAGACAAGAGGCTTAGAGTTTGGGAACAGTGGTTCTTTGGTTTGGAGAATTTTTTTTTTCTTGATTTGGATTTGTGTGTTTCACATTTGGTTAATACAGTACATGTTGTCAATATGAATGTCCAAACTTTTGAAATTTGAAAGAATACTCTCTCTCTCTCTCTTTCAGTACATACACATGCGCACACAGCCACACACACACACACACACACACACACACACACACACACATATATTTCAAGATTACAAGTTAGTAATAGATAAAAGAAATAAAGAAATTCCATGCATATGTGCACACACACAGAGCACGCACACAGCACAGTGAGAGAGGCATGAGGACAATGTGTGACAGATTTTTAACATCAAAAAGACCTGACCTGAGTAATAAAGGTCTCTCCTTTTTTTTAACCTTTTTGCTAAAACAAAATGGGTTTTCCTATTTGTAATGGTGAGTTTAGGCATAAATGATGTTAGTATTTGGGGTGTTTCCTAATTTTATGTATTCATGTAATGTAACTGCAGTTAATAAAGAATTCATCAAGGATGGCACCGTTTTGTGGCATTTTTTTCCTCCTCTAATTTTTGGAATTATGAAATAATTTCATGAAATAAGTATTGCTTCTAGTTGTCATATTCTAAGGAAGATTTGTGTACGTGAATCCACCTCACAGAAGGTAAACCAGGACCCTTTTGGGTTCGCTGGAAACCCTTGCCTTCTGACACCTCTGTGTGTAAGACTGACAAGCATTTTGGGGCATTGTGACTCCTGCTTTTAGTGACAAGGGTTGCTGCAGCTCCTGCACTGACTGTGAATCTTGCTCTCTCATATTTACAGAGACTTCAGGGTATTTTATTTCATATGTGTGTCATGTAATCATTCCATTTTATGGGAGAAAACACGCGATGTGAAAGCAACAAGTGACCCATCCTTTGACCGAGGCTTACAAGGCTTCAAGGAGAAACATGAATTTATTTCACATCTTGAAACAGATTGTTTTATTTTGCTCCAAAAAGGCACATACACATTTTTGAACTAGACCTTAGAAACTCTGAGTTTCAGCAAATCAGCATCTCTCTCTCTCACACACACACACACTTAAAATTCAGATGAGGAATGAGGTAGGAATGGGGTTTCGTCTGGGACATAGGGCACCCAAAACCAAACTATAGCAACAGCAACAAAACTGCTTTTACCATGGTGTTGGCTAAACACTCAAACTGGTTTCTTCATATAGACCATGGCTTCATTATATTTCTTTGCAGTTTCATAAATGACTTCATACCTCAAGTTACTTTTCTACATCTCCTGGAATATATATTTACATCCTTAGATTTTCATTGCCATTGCTTTAATACTTTTTGCTTGATATAGTTTTTAAGTGTTTGATGATATTGTACAAATATTTTTAAGACATTCTGAAACACTAAGGGTGAAGTGCTTCATATTACAAATGAAATATAACAGCAAACGAAAGACGGTTTGTGAAAGTTTTTAAGGGGAGAAGCGAGTGCCTGCCTCTGCTTTGGTGTGTCCCTGGCAGTTACCCCTGAGGAGGGCCCAAAGGGAGAGCGACTGAGGCCTAATCCACAGGCAACTGCCAAAGTGTTTCAGTTGACGTTTTTCCTTCTCATGTTTGACTGTGATAAATAGGTAGATAGACGCCAGAAGGTGTCTTCAGCCAACCACCTGGTGATGAACTGTTAAAAATGGTGAAAACCCCAAGTCACAGGTGCAGGGGCCATTTGTTGCCCCGTTACAGGCTGGCCCTATTTCTTTTCTGCCATGGCCATTTCTGCCTTTGGGGAACTCACAATTCCTGTTGACTAAAAGAGCACCCTTTTCCACCACAAGCCTGACAAATCAGACGTCCACATAATTTCTGAACTCATTTTGGTTAGGACAGGAAGCACAGGCTCCTTTCCTGTCTGTGTTTTCCTGAGAGAAAACTATCTTCCCTCCTTTTTTGCATATTTGGCAAGTGGTTCCACCTTTCTCTGAGCCCCAGTGGAGTGTGAAGGCAGTGGGGGAAGCTTTCAGGAGGAGGAGGAGAAGGACACGGAGGCCCTGGGTCCTCACAGTCTGGATTTGTGTGGAATAGGCAGCTCCCACTTGGCCTCGGGGAGCCAGAGTTGGTTGGTGAGTGCCACACGGTTTCTTTGCTGTGCTTGCGTGGATCGGAGTAGCCAGTGTGTGTCCTTCCCTCTTCCCTGCTGGTGTTTCTCAGTGGGTAGCCTGTGGCCAGAGTGCCCTGCACCCCTGCATGGCGACTGTCTCAGGTGATGGAGAGCATCATTACGCTCCCTCTGCGCGCTCTGCTTTCGGGCTGGCCCCATGCTCCACCTCCTGATAGCTTGTGGCGCAGGGCCATGGCTTAACGAATGGCTGAAAGTGGGCCCTAATTAGTGCAAAAGTGCTTTCTTCATATTTTCTCACTCAGGTGTGAATGATTCATTTTTCTTTAGCAATCAGCTCGCTGCTAAAGGAAATGTGACTCTCTTCCCGCCATTTTACACCAAAAGTGAAGTATACTGGGTAGAGGGTTAGGTATGAACAGAGAGCAGTGCAGTAGGAGGAAGGGACCCAACGTGGGCTTGTCTATCTTGTCTTCCTTTCTTCCCTTTCTCTCACTTTCCCTCCCTTCCTTCTATCATTTGTGGGGTTTTGCACAGGCTATTGAAACAACTAAAGTGTTTTTGAATGGCCTTATACATATTGAAGTAGATTTTTATGCTCCATTTTTTAGATCACACTCTAAAATCTATACTTGAAAGCATTTTCTGTTAGTTTGAAACTGTCTGGAAATAAACTATGGTTTGGATTAGGGCCCTTTTCTAAAGCCGGGTGTTCCACTATGAATATTGATTTATTGATTTTTGATAAATTTTTGTTGTCATATCAGATTTTTGCTGGCAAACTTAGAGCAAATAAAATTCCGTATGAGATACCTCCCTAGACCTAATTGGAAAAACGTTTAATTTAGAATCTTCAGCAGAAATGAAAATGAGGAATTGACCTTTTGTAAGCTTACTTGTGAGGCACTCTGACTTGTGCTCCAGTGCTTTTAATGGAAACTAGAGAGAGTCAGTGACGCCCTAGTGTGAGCCCCACTTTTAACCTGAGAAAAATGA